GAGAGGCCTTTTCAGTGATTGAAAGCTGCCTGTGTGACAAGTAAAGGCGACTCTAGTGAGAATTTCACGTACGGAGGGGCCGGTTCAGCCTGTCCACAGGGAGGACAGCTGTGGGTCAGCTGGACGTTGGTGCCCCGAGGACTGCCGGTACCTGGGACTCGTACACTTCCGAGGAAGGTGAGCTCTCCCAGCCTCGGCTAAGGAGCATGCACCACGCGGACATGCACAGAGAACGTGGCCTCATTTCTACAGGGACGTGTCTGTAAGCAGCCGCTTCATTGGCTAGTAAGCAACAGTTTCACATGAACTACATCCAGGGGGCTCCTGAAGGTCTTACTGTGGTTTCATTTCTAATAAAGCTGGAGTCCAGAGAGAAAGGAGACCCTGTCATTTCGCACTGTACTTCTGAGTGACTGTACGTGTCTGCATTGGGTCCTGACCCCTTCGTTTTATCGTGGTTAGTTCTCCAACAAGCACTATTTCATTATTAAGAAGCAACTGTTAGTCATTTAATGCTTCAAAGGAAAAAAAAATTAAAAACAACAACAACAAAGTGTTTTTCCAGACAACACTCAAAGAGCGCTCTCTGGTACGTATAATGGACATTCACGTCAGTGCAAGCACTGGTGAGGGTCACCCCAAATCTCACCACGCAGAGCCACTGTTCTCACAGGGGTAGAGACAACGCTCTGAGCTGCTCGCCAGCTGGCACAGGTTACAGTGAATGAACAATACGTACTGACATGTGTGTCTTCCACAATTCATGATAAATAAGCAAACAGACTACGTGGCATCAGCCAAACTGGCTCTTTGAAAAGGCTGCCACTGGGTGCTGCCGCGTGCACGCCTTCCCAGGGCCGGAAAGGAAACAGCCACGTTACAACGGCAGCTCGGCTCTGGCAATTCTCTCACTCCCTGCGAGGCAAAGGCTGAATAATACTTCTTGACCGTGAATCAAGCAAGGCAAGGGCTCTTCTACAGCGGAGCTGGCTTTTCCTTCTCCACGTGGCTCAGGACGTGGCTCCGTGTCATCAGTGAGTAAGGCAGTCTATGTGGCACATACACTGAGCTATATGGACACATGAAGACCAGAGCAGTGCTGGCGTGGGTCACCATTTCTTGTAAAGAAGATCATAAAAGCTTTTTTCAAAACTACATCACCTTATTTTGCTCTATTTCGATAAGGGTTCCTTGTCGCCCCTTTCAAACACAGGACTTTTCAAAAGTCCCCAAAATTAACACCAAATCCCTAACAAAACCTCCAGGAGACAGAAAGTTTACTTATGTCTTATCTTGTATGGAAATTAGAGGCAGATGGGGGGGTGGGGCAGGAGAGACCCATAACCTAATTGGATGTTACCTTGGCTTTCTGGACTCAACCCTGAAAGAACAATGCCCCAGCAGTCATTTCACTGCCACTATGGAGACAAAGCAAACTAGACACCTCACAACACTCGGGAAAGAAAAGGGAGAAGCATGTGATGACTTCAAAGGCACTTGTAAATCATTTGTTGAGATACAGTTAATATTTCATTCTCATCGAGGTTATAAAGTCAGGGCTTAAAACAACAGGGGAACTACGCTGAAATGATGTGCTGTGCAGCAAATAGGCAAATGCACAAAATATTCTGAGAAGATACACAGGCCAGTCATGGCGGCTCCAATTAACACTTTAAAGAAGGAACAGACTCTAATGCCCTTTAACGGATGCTCTCCTCAGATTTCTGTAGTCGATTTGGAGGTTACCAGTCACCCTGGCAAACAAATTCCCACCAGGGAACACATCTGTGTATGCAAATGCGTGTGCCTTCCTGTAATGAAAGCTGTAAAAGCATCAAGGCTTAGTCACACTGTATTTCTGTCTCAGTCATAAATGATCGAGCATGTGATTCCTCACCTAGTCACATCTCCTAATTTCTGCAAACTTTGACAGCTTACTATCAATTCTGGTTGTTGTTATGATTAGAAAAGACTGATCTGTGGTCTATAAATACACCCTCTTCCATTATAAGCTACAGATTCATCCCAACGAGTAAATCACAAATCATTAATGTGGTTTTTACTCGTGTCTCAGTGAGAAAAATTTAGTGGGCACTTCAAGCTGAGCTGGACCTATCTGGGAGAGACGTAAGGTTTGTGGCAGAAATAGTCCCTGACATGAGCTATGGGCACCCAGCTGTTAAGAGCCTGGAAGCCCAAAAGATTTCAACTTGAGGCTACTGGTGCCATAATTTGATTAAGTTAAAAATTTGACCAAAAAACTATACATGAGCTAAGGGCTCATCTTTTGGCAATTATATTAAAAATACAAGTCCCATCTATGAATTAACCTATGAGGTGCTAGGTTTCAGCACAAAAAGATGTGCCTTCAGGAATGGAAACTAATTTAGCACTTGCCTGACAAAAATATAACTGGACTGCAAAATGCAGTGTCCCTCCTCGGCCCTGAGCCGGACTTGTACGTGCAACCTGCTCCACTTGTGCTTGGTGCATTGATTCCATTTTAAGTGGCTTCAACTGTTCTACCTGTTTTCCTAACACCTTTAAACAATGTTTTTAGGGAGCTCTGGTGGCCTAGTGGCAAAACGCTGCACTGCAATCCCAGAGGTACGCAGTTCGAATCCACCAGATGTTCTGCTGGAGAAGGAGGGGGCAATCTCCTCCTGTACCAGTCCGATCTGATTTGATGGTACACATAAAAATAATACAATAAAAAAATTTTTAAAAATGTTTTTAATAAATAGTGACAGAGAATTCTTTCTATTTCTAGACATTTCAATTGCACTTGACAACTGTAAGGGAATGCTTCTAGGTTGTTAAAATCTCACAAAGACAGAAACCTCACAACTGTTAAGACAGCGGTTTAGGTTAAGGAGATACCCAGTAGCAGGCTGTGCTGTCGCTGCCTTTTACTAAAGTCCTTCTCCAGCAACCCAGCACACGCAGGCCGGCAGAGATCACGGGCAGTGCATGGTGCAGGCCGGCAGAGATCACGGGCAGTGCATGGTGCAGGCCAGCAGAGATCACGGGCAGCCTGGGCCGCTTTAAACATAAACATACTCGAGTGAGGCAAAAATGAAGATTCAGTTCCTCAAAACACTTGCCATGTGAGTATTAACAGACACATGGCCGCTGACTGCTGGACTGGATGGCATGGACCACAGAAGTCCTCAGTGCTGCCTCGAACACGCAGAGGGGCCAAGTCTACCCTCTTCAAAAGTTTCTCTTAAGCTACAAACAGAAACTGAAGGGTTTTGTATGTCAAGTGTCAACAATATTCTTACATCACATGCAATTTTAAGTGGGATTTTTTTAATTCTTTAAAGGCACTGCTTAGATGCATAGCTCATAGAACAAATGAGCTGAGAATGTTTCTATTACAAAATTATAAAAGGGCGCACCTTGCCCTTTTGCATATTAGACTCAAGCAGGAGACACAGGGCAGTACAGCTCCAAGGGAAAAACGGCTAAAAACCCCTAATGGAGTCAAGTGCCAGATGTGGCCATTAACTTGAGTTTAAATGTGGTGCTATGAAAATGCAACTTGATTCAATGAGAACACTGAGCTGTGCAGAAACCCCAGCCTCTCCTCTGCTCGGGCACCTCACTAAGGGTCAGGCCTGCAAGGCAATGTCAGCCAGGCCTACTGTACGGACCTCCTGAGAGGCCGAGCTACGACAGTCTCATAAAATGCACCTGTCAGGGACAGACGGCTGAAGCTCCAAACACACCGGAGCGTTACGAACCTCTTCAGCCCTTTCACAGGCGAGGGGACATCAGACAGTGAAAAGGCTCAACCACATTATGATCATTTTTAAGCGAATTGTACCTAGACTGCAAATTCTAACATTCATATTTCAACTACAGAATTGAGAAGCCTAGATGTGGACATGGCCGCCTTTCTAGATTGAGGTAAAATAGACTGACTATTCTTCTAAAAAAGAAATTTAAGTTAGAATACCCTTCCACTCTCTTATCAAGATAAAAAAGGGCTCAAAATTCTAGCGCAGAAATATCAACCAAACATTTCTATGCTTGGTCAATGAAATGGTAAATTCACAGTCGTAAGAGTTAAAAAATGATTATTTAGAAGGCTCTATAAGGAATTTGGTTAGATAATTATGTTGATTATGGTACAAAAGTATTATCTTGTTCACATTACAATTTTTACAGTCAAGTTCTGAGTTGATAAGGAAATCAAACATTATAAAGGGCTATTAAATATTTCTAGAATAATCATGATCAAAAGGGAGAAAACACAAAACAATTTCAAATTCTCACAAGCTTATGACTTTCTGGAAGCATGGAGGACGGGTGAACCGTTCAAGCTATTGTCCTGAAATGATCTTTTAACCATAAACCAAAAATAATCCCTCAAGTCTTAAAACAGAATCGTAATTTAAGATAGTGTTTTTTTTAAAAAAAAGTGTGCCTTAACCATCTTTAAAAAGCATTTTTGAAAAGAATTATCTCTATGGGCTCAAACTGCTAACTGTGTATGTTAACAAGGAACAACCCAGAGAAGGAAGGCAAGCATACTTGTACAGCCTCCTTCATGTTTCTTTTCAAAGAGGAAGGTCCATTTCTTCCTCAGGGACCTAACTGTCTAATTAATCTTTTTTTTTTTTACCCTGTAAAAAAAACAAAGGATGATTGTACAACTCTAAGAATGTGATCAGTGTCACTGAATTGTATGTGGAGAAACAGCTGAATAAGGGTATATTCTGATGAACATTCTCAGTAACAAAATAAACACATTTTTTTTTAAAAAAAGAGCTACTAAGACCTGGGACTACGTGTAGTAGTTTATGAATACACAGGTAAAGACAAGAATGGACTTAGAATGAAAAGAGCAAGCCAAGTTGTACAGCCCACATCCAAAAGAAACAATTCTGGAACATTAACAAAATACTTTAAAAACTCTTTGCAGACATCTTAGAAAACAAGACTACAAAGTCTAAGAAGCGTCCCTCCCCATCCCAAAGCAGCCCTGAACTCACCATCTGCAGGATGGCCCCGTACAGCCGAAGCAGCACCGTCCGAGGCTCGTCGCCCACAGCTGCCATGGTGTCAGGCAGGGAACACTGGAACAGCATGTTACTGAGGCCGCCTCTGTGGGAGTGAGGAGACAGTTAGCACCTCCCCAGGGCCACACGATTATCCTCCCGAAATTCTGACTTCTTCTCTCGGGAGACCTGGGACATAAATGACTCAATTTGAAGTTTAGATGAATCCTGTGCTGGTGGTGTCGGCTGTTAGAAGTGTGGACCAGGCGACCCAGACGCAGCGACCCCACGCACAGCGGATCTGAACTGTGTTCTATCTCGTGCCGTGGGCACCCTCAGATACCTGAGCCCATGGATACAGTCACTGCACCCTCAGTCCTGAGGGTCTTCCTCTTTCACGGACCTTTCACTCCACTTTTCCCAGCATGGTCTCTTTTTTCCAAGGACTGGCCCCTCCTGACAACATGTCCAGTATGTGAGACAGTTTCACCATTCTCGTCTCCAAGCAATACCCTAGTTTCACTTTCTCCAAGACATATTTGTTTGTTCTTTTGATAGTTCATGGGATATTCAGTATACTATTCTCAAACACCACAACTGAAAGGTATTGGTTCTTTTTCACTTTTAGGTGCATAAGAAGTAATTTAAAAGAACAAGGCTTGAATCAAATGCACCTCTGTTTTCAAGGTGACAACATCATTGTTCCTGAACACCTTGGAGAGGTCCTGGACCGCAGATTTTCCCAATGCAATAATTGTTATTTTGTGCTATCGAGCCACCTGCAACTCACAGTAACCCTGTGTACAACAGCCCTATACCCTGCTCTATCCTGTGTCAATCTTACTGTCTCTGACACACCTACCCCCATTACCCCAGTCACTGAATCAATCCATCTCATCAGCTTCCTCTTTCGCTGTCCCTTCACCCTCCCAAGCATGACGTCCCTCTCCAAGGACGGGTCCCACCCTGCAACAACATGACATCCAAAGTATGTCAGATGAAACTCCAGAATCCTTGCCTCCAAGGAGCAGCCTGGTCTCACCCTCTCTAGGATGAACCTGCTTGTTCTCCTAGCAGTCCATGGTCTATTCAATACTCTTCTCCAGCACCAAAGCTCAAAGGCATCAATTCTTCTATCATCCCTAGTCATTGTCCAGCTTTCTGATGCATAGTAAGTAATTGTGAAGACTGTGGCCTGTATCAGGCACACCTTAGTCTCCAGACTGACATGTACTTTGGAGATCTGACAGCAGACTTTTCCAGTACAATGTCTTTTGATTTCCTGTCTGCTCTACAAAGAGTGTTGAATGTGGAGCCAAGCAAACTAAAGCTGTTAACAATCTGAAACTCTTCACCATCTATCATGATGCTGCTAATCTATTTCTTGACTGCTGGTACCCAGGGTGTTGACTGTGGAGTCAAGCAAGATGAAATCACTGACAACTTCAATCTCCTCTCCATCTATCATGATGCTGCCTACCAGCCCCGTGGTGACATGCACATTCCCCATCTGTCTAGATTACACATAAAGGGAGTTAGTGTGTGGATGGATGTGTGCCCTTGAGCTCTGCTAGTCAAGCACGAGGGCTCCCCATGGAGCTCTCCAAAACTGACAATGACCTAATCCACTGTCTGCACTCTCAGACCTAACTAACACCCCAATCACCTGCCATTTTTCTAACTTCCAAGTTAAAATCCTGAAGGGACAGTCCAATCACCTTTCTGGGACTTTCCACTCACCATATTGCTCCTAGACTCACAGAACATGAACTGGTTATAGAAGCTATCACATGGGAGACCACTGAACTTCAAACTTGCAACTCTGGCCACCAAGGGCAAGAAGCCATCTGGAATGGGTGGATAGAGAAGGCAAACGCATAACTCTCAAACAGACTCATCTCTTTTCTCTTACGTGGCAGCTGACAGAGTCAAGCGGCAATCTGTCAGCGCCCAGCACTGACCACTGAGCCACCACGGCTCCTTCGGAACAGTCATTAGCAGTGAGTGCCATCCAGTTGGAACCGACTCATAGCTGACCCTCCAGCAAGTTTTCAGAGGCAGTAAATGACACAGGAGGAGACTGCCCATGCTTCTCCCTCTGCATTGCTGGATTTGAACCACATGCCTTTGGGATTAAAGCACAGCTTCTTAATACTAGGCCACCAGAGCTCCCGAGGCTTCAGGGAAACCTTAACAGATAGCTGCCCACCTACCACACCCCTGTCCAACTAAGGCAGGTCTGCATTAACAGCCCAGCAACCGCACCTGCATGACTTGGAGACAGTTGGGAGCAAACTAGCAGCAGGACTCGAACAACTCGGCTAACACCCTAGAGAAGCAGTGCAGTAAGCGGAAAGGAGGCTGGTTCCCTCTCAAGCCGTGAAGCTGCCATCCAGCTAGGTCACAGCAGCCGTACCAGAGCCTGTCAGAGTTCTGTTACACAAAAGGGAAATAACTATGTTTTTTGTTGGTTTTTTTTTTAAAGAATTTGGGTTTTTTTGTTTTGTTTTGTTTTTTATTATTATTTTTTCGTGTGCGTGTACCGTCAAATCAGATCTGACTGGTACAGGAGGAGATTGTCCCTCCTTCCCCGGCAGAGCATCTGGTGGGTCCGAACCTTGCGCCTCTGGGATTGCAGTGCAGCTCCTTGCCACTAGGCCACCAGAGCTCCCCAACTATGTTGTTTAAGTCACTGTTAGTTGCAGTTTCTGTTCTAAGCCACTACCGTGAATGCTGAGCTGTGACTGGTGCACGTTCTCAGTGGGGGAAGTCTCGCTCACTCTCCTACCTAAATTATTTGTTCAGTTCAAGGTCCAGCCTCCTATCTGCACTGTGAGCTCCCCGAAGGCAGAGGCAATAGCTAGCCTCTACAGCCCAAGACCTAGTAGCCACAAAGGACAGAAACGCAAAGATTTTCTGAAAGTTACAATAACCACCACCACTTTGTAATCTCTCATGAATAATAAATGTGGGTGAAAAGGATATATATTACCAGAAGAACAAGGCAAACTTTGAGCTAGTGAAGGGTAAGTGTGAAAGAGAGGAAATGTGATGTGGGGACATACACCAGCTCAACAACTTCCACGTGTACGATTCAATGAAACTGGGATAGTCTTCACATTGTGCAACCATTCTCGCTACTACTCTCCAAATCTGAGCGAATACATTTTTCAAATTTTCTTTTTTATAATGGGTTTGCTTACAAAGTTCGTTTACATTGTGTTTCATACTATTCTTCATTCACACTGAAATCTGAGTGAATATATTTTAAAGGAAAAAACAAATCACTGGGCGACGTGTCAGGGGAGGTGGTAGTGGCTGTAGTTAGACTGGCCTCTGACTTGTCGTCAACACTCAGTCCCTAACACAATGAACACAGAGTTCTGAGGAAAGGGACATCGCCCACTTTCCCAACCTGGGTTCGGACACCCCAATGGTGATGTCCAAGAACAACCAGGTTGCTACAGGTGAAGTCCTTTTTAAGGAGGGTGCGATGATGGCCAGGAAGGATGTGCACATGCCAAAATACCCCAAAATGGCAGACAAGCACATGCCTTCACCTCACAAAGTCATGCAGTATCTCAAACCAGGAGGCCACGCGAGGGAACGGTCGGCCTGAAGACACTGCTTTCGGCACCCCACCCACTGAGAAGCCCCATCTATGTGATCAGCTCCACAGCCCCCAAGACTGTGCCACCACCCAGCACACAGGTGTCCTGAGACCAGAGGAGACGCTGAGGCTGGGTCAGCAACTGAACCCCAATGTAGAGGTGGATTTGGCCCAAGACCTTGCCAGTCACCCCAGCAAAGCCGGAGGGAAGTGCTTCGTGTTGAACAAAGTTGTGTCCAGAAAAAGAAAGATTTTTTTAAAAAACCCCAAAACCCACAAGAGAACATGCCACTGAAGTACATTTTAAGAAGCCACACCACAGTCAAAGAACAAAGCCAAAGACGAAGGAGTCCATCCAGGAGCTAATCTCGGGCAAAAACGGACTAAACAGCGCTATTTTACAACCTGAGGATTAATGGGGAAAGTGGTGGAAAGCCGATTAGGGCAACATTCAATCTGCAGAGTCTGGAGGAAACAACAGTACAACCTCCCCCGAGGCTAATCCTCACAGACATGCAGGAATTCAGGAGCAGCCTCGAGGCCAGCCCTTCTTTAAACAGTTGGGTGATAAAACCAGGTCACCCAACATCTATGTCAGAGAAATGAAGACTCGGACTGAGAGCACTAAACCTCAAACACTCAGGTTCTTACGTACAGAACTAAGACTCCAGGGGAACCTGCAGGGTTTCCATAGCGACCACCTTGCCAAGAGCATGCTGCCAGTCCTTCCACAGAGCAGAGTGGCCGGTGGGTCCACACTGCCAGCTTCTCGGTTAGCAGCCAACTGCTCAACCACTGTGCCACCAGGGCGCCTCCAGAAATCGTAACCACAATCCCCTCAGGAGGAATCACCAAAATGTCACCAAAAATCAGAGTAGGGTCAAAGAACGCAGAGACACACATTTACTTACTTTTCACAACAAAAATGACCATACTGCCTAAAGTTTAAAGCAGCTTTTAAAATGTTAAAATTTTCACCATTCTTTTTCTTAATCATACAACTTTTTTTAGAAACCAAATTAAAAGTAATGACAGTATGATTCCTTTTTTTTTTAAATTACATTTTACTCTATCCTTCACTCACTCCCCACAGAGAGATCTGAAGTCACAGACACGGGCTCTACTCGTCACCTCTAGATCTCCCCGGAATGTACCACTTCTCTCTGCCTTGCTCTGAGTTTTATCTTGTATGAAAACAATAAAGTCATTCCTTTTCCTTGTCATCAGTGAAAGCTTACAAAGCCAACTCCAACTGTTTTCAGGACATAACACACTATTTTATGCTTTCATTACCATACACATGATGTGTACCGGCACACTGTGGACTTCCTGACAGTCGCATTTCCATTCATCCTTCTGTCCTACTTTTTCTTGCCTTCTAACTTTCTCCTTGGGCAGAGGAAGGCCTTTTGCTCTTAGGTGGCTAATTATTCTAAGTACTAAGTGCCTCCCGGGGTAACACTGAAGAGGCCAAACCCACGTGGAAGTCGTT